GTGGATTTAGGGTTTAGGGTTTTCATTTCGTAATTAAGGGTCTAGGGGTTCCGGGCGTAATAAAGGGTTTAAGGTTCTGCATAAAACAAGCCCTTTGAGGGGTTTATGAGTGCAGTGAGGGTTTAGGGTTTAGGGTTTAGGGTTAGGGTTTAGACCCGTCGCGATGGCTGCAGCGATGCGTTCATAGAGGAGATCTTCGGGGCTCAGGTGCTGCGGGGGAGGCGAGCTCCACCAGTTGCTGCTGCTGCTGCTGCTGCTGCTGCTGTTGCTGCGCCACGCAGCAAAGGCCTTGGCCCCAGCAGCAGCAGCAGCAAGATATCCAACTGAAGGGCGGTGCAGCAGCACCAACTTTGCAGCTAAATGCTGCAGTGAGGAACAAACCCTCGCGTTGCTGCTGCTGCAGCAGGTGCCCAGCAGCAGCACCACATTACGCAGCCCCCCACGCCAAGCGCAAATCGGGGGTTCTACGCTGCTGCTGCTGCTGCTGTTGCTGTTGCTGCTGCTGTTGCTGCTGCTGTTGCTGCTGCTGCTGCTGCTGCTGCAGCACCTGCAGGTGCAGTTTACTCCCTTATTTTCAACGGCAACGTGTGCTGCAGCCAGTGCCACCAGCAGCTGCTGCTGTTGCTGAGGCTGCTGCTGCTGCTCTTGCGCTGCATGCAGCTCAACTAAAGGCAGCTGCTGCTGTCCTGCTGCTGCGACTCCTGCTGCTGCAGATTCCGTGTACGCCTGCACACGCAGCAGCACTTCGCCAAACCCTAAAGCCTAAGCCCTAAACCCTAAACCCTAGTCCTTAAACCCTAAACGCTAAACCCTAAACCCTAAACCCTATCCCCCAGTCACTTGCCTGCTGACAGAGCCTTGAGACGAGCTGCAGCGGCAGCGGCGTTTGCGGGTGAAGCTGCAGCAGCAGCGCGAGTTTAGGGAGGGCAGCAACAGCGCTTGCAGCAGCAGCAGCTGCTGCTGTTGGGTCTTTGGGGTTTGTTGCTAAGCAGCGAAGCAGCAGCAGCATTACGAGGTTGCATTCAGTGCTGCTGCTGCACCAGTCCTGCTGCTGCAGCTGCTGCTGCAGGTCTAAGTGCAGCTGCTGCGCAACTGCTGCGCTGCTGTCGTACACCACTTGACCCATGTGCTGCAGCAGCTGCAGCTCCTTCCGCTGTTGCTGCTGCTGCTGCTGCTCTCTGCAGAGAGCTAGCGCCGCTGGAAGGTCTGCCAGCATGTCATCGTGCTCCTGCTGCTGCTGTTGCTGCTGCTGCTGTGCCTGCTGCTGCGGCTGCTGTTCAGCCGACTCGAGCCTGCGGCGTTTTTCTGCTGCTTCTGCTGCTGCTTCCGCTGCGCTGCTGCTGCTGCGCTTGCTGCTGCTGAGAAGCTGCAGCAGCACCGCCCTCCTCTCCCACGTGATGAATATATCGAGTATCTCTATGACGTGCTTCCTGCCGTCGGTTTTGCCTGGTGCTGCGCTGCTGCTGCTGCTGCTGCTGCTGGCATGCAGCAGCTGCTGCGCTGCACCCAGCAGCAGCTGCACCACAGAGCGACGAAAGAAAAACAATATCTGCTCGTGCTGCTGCGCTAGCCGCAAGAACTGCAGCAAAGGGATATCGCCTGAAGCCCGCAGCAGCAGGCGTAGCCAGGAAGGTGCGAGGCGGGCGTTGCTGCTGCTGCTGCTGCTGCCGATGCTGGTGATGCTGTTGTTGTTGCTGTAGCTGCTGCTCCCGCTGCTGCTGGGCTCCAGTTGCAGCGGAAGCAGCACCGTCGGCAAAGCAATCAGCTGCTGCAGCAGCAAACCAGCAGCACGACGCAGCAACTGAGGGCGGGGAGACGCCTGCCACGACAGAACCGACTGCAGCAGCAGCAGCGGCAGCCGCTGCTGCTGCAGCACCAGGTGCCTAGACACCTCAGCCAACAGCAACACCGCCATATGCTGCACTGCAATGCTGTCCCCTTGACACTGCACACAACAAACCCTAAACCCTAAACCCTAAACCCTTAAGCCCTAAACCCTAAGCCCTAAACATTATAGCCCTCGCAGCTTACCGAGCAGCAGCACGTAAACCTACACTTCAGCTGCTTAAACCCAAACAGCAAACCCTAAACCCTAAACCCTAAACCCTAACTCACGGCTGTACGCCAGGCAAAAGAAAGAAGCTGCTTCCGCGCTTTGCTGTCGTGCAGCAGCAGACGCACCGCCACCCGCACCGTCTCCAAAAATGCCATGCTGCAGCAGCAGCAGCAGCAGCAGCAGCAACAGCAGCAACACATAATGACGTTTAGGAAGTCTGCATGCAGCCGTTCTGACCCAGCAGCAGCAGGACAAGCAGCAGAAACCATGGCGACACCTAATCCCTAAACCCTAAACCCTAAACCCTAAACCCTAGCCTTACCACAGGGAGTCGTGGGTCTTCAATATTGGCTCAAGCTTTACAACTGCGGCGCTCAGCAGCTGCAGCAGCAGCCTGGCATCTGCTGCAGAGAGGACCCCGAAATGCTGCTCCGAGTTGCTGCTGTCTGTGCTGCTGCTGCTGCTGCTTTGCGGCTGCAGCAGCTCGCGCAGCACCGGCTGCACCAGCAGCTCAATGACCATAGAAAGCTGCAGAGCCTTTACAGGTGCTGGTTGAGGGGAGGCGTCAGCAGCAGCAGCACCTGTTGCTGCTGCTGCTGCTGCAGCACCAGCAACCTCCAGCTCAGCGAAGCAAGTCATTAGCAGGCGCTGCTTCTGTCGCAGCAGCAGCTGCGGCAGTATCTGCTTCTGCAGCAACAGAGGAATAAAGCAGAAGCGAGAGACAGTGCTGCCGATGCTGCAGCAGCGGACAAGAGAAAGAATAGCAGCAAGGGTTTGCTGCTGCAGCTGCTGCTGCTGCTGCCGCACCAATGCCACAAATGCACTCGAGTGCATTGCAACTTCCTCTTCCTGCTGCGGTTCTTGCTGCTCCTGCTGATGCTGCTGCTGTTGCTGCTGCTGCTGCTGCAGCCAACCCAATAAATACGAGTCTGCCTTTCCTTGCAGCTCAGGAGACACCGCAAAATGCAAAAAGGCTGTGAGTTGCTGCGCCTGCAGCAGCAGTTCCTCTCGATCAGCTTCCCTCAGCTGGTAGTCTTCTGCTGCAGTAAGGGCTGCTGCTGCTGCTGCTGCTGCCTTCTCCGCAGCAGGTGCAGCAGCAGCAGCAGCTGCTGCTGCTACTCTTGCTGCCTCCACCGCCTGCAACGGGGGAACAGGAACCCCGTCAGAAGCCGCGTCTAGATATCCACAGAACAACTCAACTAATGAGTGCTGTTGCTGCTGCTGCTGCTGCTGTTGCTGCTGTTGCTGCTGCAAGCTCGAAGACAGCATGAAATCGACAAACAGGAGGTCTGGGTGGGCCTGCTGCAGCGCATAGCAGACCTTTGTTACTGCTACCGCAGCAAAACGCAAGTTGCTGCTGCTGCTGCTGCTGCTGTCCATCTCTGCACGCAGCGCCGCCTTCATCTCTGGCAGTAGCCGCAGCACCGCCAGCCTGCAGCAGCAGCAGATGCAGCAGCAACAGATGTAGTAGGAGCACAACAACAGACGCGGCAGCAGCAGCAACAGACGCAGCAACAGCAACAGATGCAGCAGCAAATGCAGCGGCAGCAGCAAGTCACCTCAAAGGTCGGGCTGAAGTAATCTCCAGATGCTGCAGCAGCACCTCGAGGAACGCCTGCTTCATGCTGCAGCTTTGGATGGCTTGCTGCTGCTGCTGCAGCTGCAGCAGCGGCTGCTGCAGCTGCTGCTGCCC